CAAAACTCGCGATACCATCCATATCATCTGGATGATTGGCGGTCCACCACTATGCGATTTAGAAGAAGTTTTCTCCCTCGCACAACTTCCTTGTGGAATCGATTACCGCCAGCGATTTTTTCGGACCGATACGACTTAGGGACCTTCAAGAAAAGAGCCTACTCCTTTTTGAAAGGCCGGCAACGCATCTGCATTGCCCTGCAATGTTGCAGTTGTTCATGGGCGGCGGTAATCACTTACCATCAGGTGAGCCGCATGCTCGTTTGCCCCCTATCCTATAAAAAAAAAACATAGGCCTAAAACATAGATTGTTCCATTGTTATAGTGGCTTCGTTTGGTTAGTGGGTTGGCAACCGCAGTTTCTTATCATTATTGAGTTAATATTATCATGAAGATGCTGCTGCTCATCTCTTATCTCTCTGTTCCTCTCTGTCACCTCTCACGACACTAAAAGGATGATATTACTTGTTAGTGAATTATCTTACAGCGTCACTACACGGTAAATACATACATAACATTTTATTTAAATGATTGAAATATATTAAGGTAAAGTATTTAAAAGTAGAAATTCAAAAATAATTATTGTTTGTCTATAAATATGTAAGCTTGTTTCCATACAAACAAACTCATTGTTTTTACGATTGAAAAATATTTTATTTAACAATCCATTATACAGAGCAATTGTTTTAGTGTATACAATGGCAAAATAAAAAATAACAAACCACGACTTCATATTTTTCGGGTCAGAGAAATAACTATAACAAAAATCGTCACATCTGAAATAGTAATAACTATAGTCGAAACAGCTAAAAGTGTAACACTTCGAATTCCGAATATGGTTTAACGGGTACGATTATGGCTGAATCTCCTGGACTTGGTGCAAACTGGGGAATAAATTCTTTAGTGGAATATAATTACGATTACTATAACAATGACTGTAACAGAAGGATATAATTACGATTGCTGTGGGGATAAATTAGAAAAAAATTAAAAGTTACTTTGAAAAAACATAAATAAATAAGTATTATTTATCACAAGTCTAGATTTTGAATGGGTGGGATCTATGTATCATCATTTAGATTGCAGTATATAATTTTAAAAACTTTATACGTGGTAGAGCCATGCTGCAGCTATATTAGTAGTATAGTTGTAGCACGAATGGGTCGGCTCGACCGGGGAAGGACCACGCTCTCACAGAATACCAGCGTCAAATAGCGGTTTCATGCTGCTGTGTTTCGTATGGTGAGTGTAGAGAACCGGAGACCCTTTTTACTGGAAAAGAGGCATTCTATCTTATCCTCACGGGCGATAACGCATCTGCATTTTGATTCGCAAACGAGGATAAATGTAGATAGATGTCTATGGGCCACAGCAACCACTTACCATCAGGTGGACTGTGTGCTCGTTTGTCTATTTACTATAAAAAAAATCTTCAAAGGTCATCTACTTTATCAATTTTTCGATTCCACAAAAATATAGCCTAGACCATTGCCATTGTTCTCTATCTGTTAGTCAAGTTTCATTACAATTGGTTTAGCCATTCCGAAGATTAGTCCAGACAGGTAGATGACAGAAAAACATTTTAAAAATTGTTTTTGATGTCTTAACCGCTTGCGGATAACACCCTCAGCTCAATAAAATGCAGTAATTTTGATATTACAGAAACAAAAACATGCGTGAGTGTCGTGGAGCACACGGTTGGAACGAAGTTACTTATTATTGATAAACGTATTATATTATTGATTAACAAATACAAATAAATGTATTATTAGCGTCTATTAAAATAAAGCGTCATTTCAAATAAAATACACTATGACACAAGGGGTAGTGACGAAAAAATCTTACACTTTTTGTCGCCTAGCTCCCATCCGCCAAACCCGTACCGTCCGATAAGGAACTTCGTTCCAAAATTAAAGTTGGTAAAAATTACCTCGCGTACATCCGCTCGATGGAATAAAATGTGTCTTACCTAGTTTGAAGAGCACCTCTCTGCTGCTCTTCAAACTTAAGACACATCATTTTATTTTATGGAGCGGATGTCCGCGAGGGAATTTTTACCAACTTAAATATAATGGATTTCCGCAAAGTAACGCCTGATTCCATTAATTATAGAGACACTTCAATTTTATTTATATATATATATATATATATATATATATATATATATATATATATATATATAGAACTTATCGTTATTACCTAGCAATTTTACTGTCATAACTCAACCGAGCTCACGAATGTTGCAGTACTTACCGCATTCATGTTTTTCTTCAAATATATACTTCAATAATACTTTTATAGCATTTGCAGTACCAGGTGCGTATGCGATCAACCCACTCGAAATCATTAAAGGGACCTTTTCCCATTACATTCTACTTCAATCTCAATTGTATGTGTCTGTTGATTTCGATAGTTCCCACGTTGCTACTTGAATTACTTTCGATTGAAGCTATTTTTAATTAATGTGAAGTAAGCAACGGATGAATAAAATATGTACAATCGCATCAAATTGACCTAATTAAACATGTCAATACTTACGTACTACGAAAAATTACAAATATTGTTTTCACTTGCAATAATATACAATACACAGAGTCTTCATTTTCATCTTTTTTTATAGAATGAGGGTGACAAATGAGCACATGTCCACCTGATAGGAAGTGGATGGTGTGACCCAATTATCCTCGGTTAAGAATCAAATTGCAGAAGCGTTGTCACCCCTGAATACTAAGATTGAATGCCTCGTTTCCAGTAAAAAGGGTTTCCGCGTTAAGCTACTATTTTACGGTAGTATTCTGTGTATGTGGTCCGAATCGATTGAACCGACCCATTCATGTTTAAACCAGAATATAGCTACAGCATGGCTGTACCGCGAAATATCTTCATCAGCCTGTAAATGTCCACTGATTGACATGAGACTCTCTCGTTACTGAGGATTTGTCTGATTTATCACACTCGGCAGCGGATGGACGATGGCACTAACAGACGTCTGGAAACTCTGACGCTGCTGCCAGTCACCAGTCGTTATGCCAGGTTTTATTTAAGTCGTAATCGAGATGGTCATATCAATGGCTTTCGGAGGCCATACAATTTTTCTGGCAACCAAGTCGTCCCTTACTCTTACCACCTACGAGACGAGTGTTCATTATTTAAAGATCCTTTTAAGCTCCCATCACAAGCCAACACACATGGAGTGGATATTTGAAAATGTTATAATTGTTATGTGTGTGTGTGTGTGTGTGTGTGTGTGTGTGTGTGTGTGTGTGTGTGTGTGTGTGTGTGTGTGTGTGTGTGTGTGTGTGTGTGTGTGTGTACATATATGCGCATGCGCGTATGCTTATAAGTCTGCAAACTGCATGGAATCATCACAAATGAGTATCAATAAATATTAGACAGATAAGAGTCATTATTAAAATAATTTTTGTCGCTCTATTTCATTCGGCTAGCCAGTGACTGTTTCAGTCCATACAAATACACTGTATCATTATACATATAAAAATACACTTTGCGCAACCGAAAAATGCAAATACTTTCAAGACGATGGCATTGTTTAAATTTGGTCGGAAAAACATGGGCCTTTGCCTGCTTGATCACACAACGTTCATATGACTACGATACTGATATCCGAAGGCGACCAATTTCGAATATTTATGGAAACTATAAGTTATGAGTAAGTATGGCATAATATTAGAGTGCTAACATACAATCACTGATGAATTTTTTCATTTGAATCGACCTTCATGCAGTGTTACAATAATAATATAAAACTGGTATATTCCTATGCAGTATTAGAAACGCGATAAAAATCGCAACCACATGAAATCACCCGTACACCATACACCAAACCGTACCCGTAAACACCAACCATTTGAGTTTTGCACAAATATGCCGAAATACGTCACCAGAATTCGGTAGCTAGGTAAGAGTAATAATTTAATCTTCAGGGGAGTGCTCGTTTGTCACCCTTATTCTATAATAAATAAAAAGTAAGTGACGCCGAAACTATTTTTAACTTATTGTAAATACAGGCACTCACGAAGACTTATACAAAAATGCTTAAATCATTTGCAATCAACAACTTGTTCATCATAATAAGTTGAGCATAATTTCGGCATCTGTTTTTCTCTGTCGGTCTGAGACTTGCAGTACAAATTTATAATTTTACTTTATCTTGCAAAAAGAGTATTGAGTATATATAACATATCAAGAATTGCGCGTCAATTAAGCCATTCTCTTGCAAAATACTAATTGCTACCTTTACTAATTTATGTTCTCATTAAACAGCACTCGTTTCGTCTATAATCATTATTAACGGGTGGTATTGTTAATGCCGATGGCTATTAATTTTCCATTTAGCCTTACCAATGAATTCCGCATGTTCCATTCGTTTTTACCTTATCCGACGGCCGGAGAGCCGTTAATTATTTATCCAACGTTTTACCAAATATTTGTCGAGTTTAATACGATCGTGTTGTGATTGTTTCCCTGAAGATATATTATAACAAGTCACATGAAGTACAATAATGGCTTTGGAAATAATTATTTGTTACAATCAAGGAAGATAATTTAAAAAAATCAATGTGACAAAATCTACCAATAATGTTTACCATTTTTGGTAGATTTTGACACATTCACCGTTTTCAATAGCATAAAATCTAAATCTACGCGCCCTTCCCATTGCGTTTTAGTAATTTCCTATATTTGACATGATTCACTATGTAGTGGCAGTGTAAGAAAATTCACTACCCCATATCGTAAGAGGTTGATAGAAGGAAACAAATCAGGAGATGGACAGCAGTGTCCTCCTAATAACAACAAAAAAATTAAAACTACGGTTGCTAACACGCCGCCCAGAGTGGTAATTATGGCAAATATCCCCCCATGAGCTAATCTATGGAGGCGGCCCATGTTAAGCGGGCCTTTGATAGGATATAACCGTAACGGTAATGAATACTTTATGATTCAAATATTATGCCTTAATGTATTCTCTTTTGTTACAGTTGCCTCAGTCCACGGTCGGCGTATTTTTACGAATTTCCTCCCAGTGGTGAGTAATATGATTTTTAATATTAACATTTGATTATATGCGCGGCAAAATAAATCAGTTCGCGAAATGACGCGAATAGTGAGGGCATTGTTATATATGTACTAATAAAGACACTCACAGTATAATTATTAAATTTCAAAACAATCGCATTCATAAGCTATCGTTTATTAAAAAAGTAGATTAGGAAACCAATTGTAAAAATTGAAAAAATCGATTTAATGTCAAAACGCCTCCACGATACAAGTGAAAAATTTACTGCGTTGGTAACTTTTACAAAACGGAAAATAAGGCACAGAAAGAAAAAGTTGAACAAAGACTTGCTGCTTTGCACGAGAATGAGGAACGGAAACTTTAAAATTTTAAAAGACCCTATTTCTCGTAGATTTAGCCCTTATTATTTTCAATTAACATTTATTTAAAAACATTAAAAACATGCAAGCGACGATGACGTCAAGCGCTCGGTTATAGCTTATTTCAAAAACGTAATATCATAATCATCATCATCATTACAGCCTTTCACAAGTCCACTGCTGAACATAGGCCTCCTCCAAGGAATGCCATGCCACAAAGCACGGTCCTGAGCCACCTGCATCCATCGACTTCCTGCATGTCTTACCAGGTCGTCACTCCATCTCGTGGGGGGTCGCCCTACACTACGCCTACCGGTACGAGGCTGCCACTCGAGAACCTTTCTTCCCCATCGGTTGTCGGTTCTTCGAGCTATATGGCCGGCCCACTGCCACTTCAGCTTACTAATCCGTTGGGCTATGTCGGTTACTCTGGTTCTACTGCGGATATCCTCATTTCTAAGTTTATCACGCAGAGAAACCCCGAGCATAGCCCTCTCCATAGCTCGCTGAGCGACCTTGAGCTTCCTCATACGGCCAGCAGTGAAGTACCACGTCTCAGATCCGTAAGTCATCACTGGCAACACGCATTGGTTGTACAATTTCGTTTTCAGGTTTTGAGGTATGTCTGACGAGAATATGTGTAGAAGATGTAATATAATATCGTATTTTTTTCGGTGGCATAAACATGTTCTTAACCGATCAAAAAAGTGTACAAGGGTCCTACCATATGGCCTAGGGGAATGTACTGTAAAGAAAAATAATTGTCAGAATAATATTATAGTTCTTGCCGAACATTCCGCGAATTTATTTACCTTCATCTTATAGTTTGTCCATTCACAGTTATGAATGTAAAACAGAGTCTTTTATAAATAGATTTGTAGTTCTCATATTATTAAGAAAGTTTATAATTTGCCATATAGTCGCGGTGTAAGTGAATCCTCTATCCCATCTCATGCAAATCAAAAATATTAAAAAAAAACAGAGATCGCCAACCCTGCTGTCGAAACTATAGAAAATATGAAAAAGTCTATAAGAAAGACCCATGTACAGCAGTAGACTTGTGATAGGCATGTGAATGCATATTAAGAAAGCACTTCTTTTCATACTTCTTCTTTTTCTTTAATTTATTATTACCAATATTTTTTTAAATACGACCTTAAAAACTAATGCGTTCTTCATCAAGTTAACACAGTAATCATTACAGCACACCACAAATCTACAGCTGGACATATTAACAGTGGTATAGCCACGCGGCAGCTTTTGCTGTCGCACGGATGGGCCGGCTCGAACCGGGGTGTACCACGACCTCACAGAATACCAGCGTGAAGTAGAGGTTTACCTCTGCGTTTCGCTTGGTGAGTGCAGGTGGCCGGAGGCCCTTTTTACTGGGAATGAGGCATTCCAACTTAGTCCTCACGGGTGACAACGCATCTGCATTTTGATTCGCAAACGAGGATAGATGTAGATGTCTATGGGCCGCAGCAACCACTTAGCATCAGGTGGACTGTGTGCTCGTTTTTCACCCTTATCCTATAAAAAAAAAACACATCGTCCTTCCCCAAAGAATGCCATAAATGGTGCTGAGCCCATTGCATTCATTGACTTTCTGCCTATTTCACACAGACGTGAATCTATATGTTTTTACGTCTCTTTGTTCTTTATTTTCATTTAAAACAGTATGACAGTTTTTAGTCCTGTCTTTAATATTAGGATTAATGGTGTGAAATTTTTGGTAATATATTACCTAGTGGTGTAAAACTTTTTGCAATAAATTATCACAAACTTAACGGTGATAGCGAAGTAAAAGAAGAAAAGAATTTGGTTTTGGTGAAAGAAATAAAAAACAAAACAGGAGTAAAGCATTGTTGAAACAACTGCGTGCAAAGATTTTGCTATTTTATAATTATCGACGCCATGTGAATTTGCAGTGTGGTGAATACAGGTTAATTTATGATTTTTCATTAATAAATAATGACATAAAATGGAAATGAGCTGGCCATATAGCTTGGAGAACCGATAACCGATGGGGAAGAAAGGTTCTCGAGTGGTAGCCCCGTACCGGTAGGCTAAGTGTGGGACGGCGCCCCACTAGATGAAATGACGACCTGGTAAGATATGCAGGAAGCCGATGGATGCAGGTGGCTTTTTAAACGAAGACATTCTGGGCTTTGTAGACTCCGTACTTGCCGGTCGAGTTCACTTCCATCACTCCACTCTCATTGCCCCTGCGCATGAATTATTTTAATTTTTTGTTCACCGAAATACACCATATTGCGTGGTACTCTGTGTATGGTTGCTGCCTTGGTGTTCTCACTGTGGTGCGCGAAGCACGCTGTCCCGGGAGATAGCAGTCTCACTGTGTTGTTGTGAAGTGAATCGGACGCTTGTTGTGGCGCAAAGTGTGTTGTACGTTACTCACCTTCCTGGCTTCCTGGTACTGGTATCGGCAACCGTAAGTGAAGTGAAACACAGCCGCTGCCTTAGAGGCGGCCATCGTTTTTAATTTTTGTATTGCTTGTTGCATTAGGCAACAGCTAAGTACACATCCTAGTGTACCTATGAGCTAGGTGTATAGGTGTTTGTTTTAGGCACACACCTCCCCCGAAAGGTGGGGGAGCTTGGTACACATCTGTGCTTGTTAGCATAGGCGACAAAATGATATATATTCGTCGATAACGATCGATGAACTTGTCGAATTTTTAGTCGAGCCTGTCCCGACATTTGGGCTGTGTTCTAGCCTAACTCGGCCCCCTCGTCCCCCACCGCCACTCCGGCAAAAAGCCTGCCCCCGCGGCGCGCGCTAATTCTCTAGGCCTGCGGCCAAGCCTGAAGCGAATGGGTCCCCTGCTGAACGTAGGCTAACGCTTCATAATAATCTAAGACCAATCAAAACAGAGCAACGTATCATACCGGTTGAACTCCAAAAAAATCTATTGCCCAAAGGTGCAAATCACCCAGAGGAGCGTAAACTTCGTGCGGTCGTTCGCAGTCTCCCAAAAGAGCTTGAGACTGAATACATTTTAAACGACCTCAAAGCCTAAAATCTCCCGGTCCAGGAGGTGCACAGGAAGCACCACCAGACCGATAAAAAGCGTTACTTAGATATGTGCCTTGTCATTCTGGACCTGTTTCCGTAAGGCAAGGAGATTTTTAACGTTCGGCGCATCTACAACCTAACGCGGATTGCAGTTGAAGCCCCCCGACATAGAGACATCGTTGGCCAGTGCCACCGATGCCAACTGTATGGCCACTTGGCCAAAAATTGTTACGCCAGGCCTAGGTGCGTCAAGTGCCTAGATGACCACAGCATCACCGACTGCCCCCGCATCTCCGAGACGGTTGAACCACCGAGCTGCGTCAATTGCCGCGAAGGGGGACACCCAGCGAATTATCGCGGGTGTTCCAAAGCGCCGCGAAAAAGCAGTGCGGAGGTAGAAGCTGTCCCGGACGCTTAAGTCAAGCCAGTGTGTCGCGCTCTCGGCTCCCAAACCTACACCGCCCACGGTGCCCACTTCCTCGCCTCAAATTGCCACCAAGTCCGCCCCAGTCGCCGGGGCGGCCGAGCAAGGTGCTAGCACTCCCGTGCCCTCCCCGCCAAAATCCAATGCTTAGGTATAACCGCCGGCACTCGTCGCCTTACAGCCAGTGCCGCCTTCCCAAGACCCATAATCGAAGCTCGTCCCACAAGGCTCGTCTTCTTTCGCCGCTGACTTTCGGATAGAGGGTACTCGCTCCACTAAACTCTCCTCAAGGCTGGAGTCCCACAGGGCTCCGTCCTTTCCTCAAACCTCTTCACACTCGTCGCCCATCATAATAAAAGATGCTCCAAAAAGGAGCTAACGGCTTAGGCGATTGGTTCCGCTTATGGAGAATCGAAGTGAATCCTGAAAAAAGTGTAGCAATACACTTTCACACCATGCCCACCCTCATTAGACAGTACAAAGATTCTAAGAAATCGCTAGGTACGATCACCATGTATGGCCGCCAGATCCTCTGGCAATCAACGGCCAAATACCTAGGGGTCACATTTGACCACGGTGTGACATTCGCGAAACACATTCGCAATGTCCGTAATCGTGCCAAAATCGTCACCAGTCGCCTTCACCCGCTAGTTAACAGAAAGAGCAAATTGTCCTTAAGACACAAGCTCCACCTTTACAAAGCATGATAGGTATTACGCAAGCGTAGTTTTCGCGCACGCGGCCCACATACACGTGTACTACCTCCAAGTCGTCCAAAACAGATTTAAAACGCATCGCCACCGGAGCTCGGTGGTACCAACGAAATTCCGACTTACACACAGGCACTGTCAACTTCCGACAATGTCTGAGTATTTCAAGGAAATGTCTCAGCGCTATATCGAGAAGGCCGAGATATATCCCAACCCGCTAGTGGTAAACGCAGCCCCATACGCTCCGACTCCGAACGTTACAGAAATCCTCCGGAGGCCCCGTAACGTGCTAATTGAACTCCCCGTTGCGCTCGATGCCGACGACCGAAATGTCCTCAGCCAGTGACACATAAACACTACACACGCCTAGTGTGTGTAGTGTTTATGTGTGACTGTGTGACACCACAAACACTGTTAGGACAACAACAGGTGGAACGCAGCGAGTACGCAGACGGGCGCGCCGCACACCCATCCACGCCGCGTACACACCGAACACCCGCGTCCCTGGGCGGTTCTCACCGCCCAGAACATCGTACGTTACGAGTTAGCCATCAGAGCCGAGGTTCGCTGCCCCTTGTTCAGACGGCCCTTAGACAACTCATCTATGTGTACTGTTACCTGTCCTGCTATCGTTACGCAAGTAACGATGCAGAATAGTAAAATATTCACCCCTTCTTTCAGCCAGTAGTCCGATGAAGCTGTAAGAGCCGCAAAGGGGAACAGCACAAACACCGTCAGAAACCAGAACCAAGATTCAGGTGGTGAACAGAACCGTGCTTTGTGGTAGTCTTTGGGGGAGGTCTATGTTCTGGATTGTGGACTTGTTAAGGGATTTAATGATAATGATGATGACGAAAAATAAAATTGTTAACATTGCAAGTAATAGTTTAAACCTTTCTATTAATATTTAGATGCTCATTTCATTTTATTTATTTAAAAGGTGTTACCCGCACAGTAGGATTTTCTCCTGTATCGAGGAGGCAACTTTCATACATATATAGTAGATTTTTACATAAAATCCAGACAAACAATAATTAATTGTAGGCCAACAAACACTTGCTCCGTGCGGGATTCCAACCCGACACCCCGCAGCTTTGTTTGTTTTTCTACTTTAATTGATATTTTTCGGTGTTGTTTATATAAGAATACCACGAGTACATAAGCATTATAAAGTTCACTTTTTTATGTCACTAGTGGTGGTATAAAAAAGAAAGAAAATAGCCCGTAATTTTTACTCTACCGCTCGTTATGTTATTTGAAGCTAATCATGAAATTATAATAAACATGCGATGCAATGCAGAAACCACATTTATAAGGCGTAATGTCTTAATCACTCAAGAAATGAAAGTTTAAAAACACTTATTTACTTTACTGTTTTAATAGCTTGCTGAAAGCGTGCACACGCAAGTTCAATTATTACAACTTGACTACTGTCACACCTGATGTTAAGTGATGTATCCGAATATTGTAAACCACGCTGACATAGCTTTACAACACCTTTACCTTTTCACTCTTGCCTTGAAAACACCCACATTGTAATTAGATAGAAAGGTGCTGGAAAATTATTCCATTCGAACGACAAAGCAAACCGTTTGTTTCGAGTGCGTGGTATCTAGACAACGAAAGGGTGGAGACTGGCTGGGGCGTCTGGTTAAAAATTTCCTTATATATGCGCTTACTTATGAATATAAAGAGCAACATGTTAAAACAAAACTTTGCCCATTTTATTTACAATATTTCAAGAAATTAGGATTTATAACGACTATTATTCTTCTTTTATGACCGCTTGGCTTTGCAATGAATGTGTTAGCCTACTGGTCTAGTTTTGAATTATAACTGAATAAATATATGCTCTTGTAATGATGTTAAATTACAAGAGCATATTATATTTATCTGTACAATAATGTTAAAGAGCCGTGGTAGCTCAGATGGTTAGCGATAGCTGTAAGTTTCACAGTACGCGAGCAACCCCGGTTCGATCCCCGCCGGCACCAATAAAATTATTAATTGCAAATATAAGTGCTGACTTACCATGTGCTCGGCGGTGAAGGAAAAAATCGTGAGGAACCCTGCATATCTGAGAAATAAAAAAAATATTTCGAAGACATGTAAAATTCGCCAACATGCATGGGGGCAGCGCGGCGGACATTTCTTTGTACTAAAACCCTCTCAGGAATGAGAGGTGGCCTGTGCCTAGCAGCTAGACGTGTATAAGCTGTAACTTTAACTTTTAACTTTAATTGTTACCAAATAGCCGAAGGATTTGCGTAATATACAAGTTAAGTTTGTAAAAAGATGACCACTTGGCGTTGTAGTCAAAATACGTAGCTACAACGCCGCGGGGTCTGAGTTCAAATTTCAGTCGTTTTTGGTTGTGTTATGATTGCTCCCGTGTCTCTGACACTGCATCCCGATCACACTGCATTCCGATCTTCTTTTTTTATAGAAGAGAGGACAAACGAGCATGTGACTCACCTAATGGTAAGTGACTACCGCCGCCCATGAACAACTGCAACACCGGGGGAACCAGGGGAATTGCAGATGCGTTGCCGGCCGGGTCTTCTTCATTATCAGTCAATTAAAGTACACTGCGGACACGAAACCCAGCACCAAACGTTTAGCACCTTTGTCGTTGCCTCCCGTCACTAGTCTGGACACGCATGATATTAACGAGATTATTAAACCGCCATCTATTGGAAGCTATAAGATCTTTTTATGGCTTCCAAGAGAATGCTTATAGCTACAGGCAATAGGCCTGTTATCATCATTATTTAGGTATGAACTGGACTATGTGCAGATAATTCATTTTTACCTTATATCAGTCTTCTTTGCTTTAGATAATTGCCTTGGTACCGCGAAAAAGAAGGTGACAACGTTTTCACGGCTGCTTCGAGGTTTGAAGTCTCATAGGAAAGAGAAACACGGTTCCTGTTCGCCGAAACATACCCACAGTCCGCGACAAACACTGCCCCCGCAAAGGGTAAGTATCCATAATTGTCTAAATATATAATATTACTTCTTAATACAGAAACTTTAATCTTAATAAATCGATAACAAGGTCTTCTATTGTTGTCTAAGGCTCATTTGTCTGATACTCCGAAACGAATTATATTTAGAATTAGTGGAATATGTTTTATTTAATTATAGTTATTTAGTTGTAATTTTATTATAACGTTCTTATAATAATGACAAGAAATTTTGTATTACAATTTACGGTCAATGATGTGCATGGTGTTAAAATATATGTACAAAGCACGATTAATTCAAAACCCAGATATATTTGGTAGTATTTGAACATTTGCAGCCATCAAATCCCTTGCACTCTTTATTTATAGTAATTAAACACGTGAAACTTATTTATGAACTAATAAAATGTCTGGTGTTATTTTGTGATAGAATTGTATGGTTTTTTAAAATTTTTCAGCCAATCAAAAGTCCACTGCTGAATATAGGATGCGGGAACGGATGCGTAGGGGGGACACCCCTTCTTTTAAGATTATGCCAAACCTGTTAAAATTCCATGGTTGGCGTCATCAACGTATACGAGAGGTCTCGGGATTTCATCTGAAGAGCAACTGGGACCCCTCCATCGCCTTGTTTGACTAGAAACAAGTCCCAAGGGTAGCACTTACTGCACGCAGCATCCTCCCAGTGCTAACACGATATCTCAAAACTACTTCTTTTTTAAGAAACTGTAAGAACTTCATAAAAGATTAATAACTAATCTTAATCCTAAAATTAAAATTTAGTGAAGTCAACACTATTTGATTTTTTTTTAATTGTCGCTGCGGTCAGAACATGTCAAGGAGTACTACATTATAGTTATGTTGAGCTGAAAAGGTAACGTCACAGGCCGTAATGAATATAAATACAAAAAAAAGTATAATTCATAAAAAATAGGTAGAACTTGAATATATACACAAGTGACGGCAGACGAAACTTCTTTCTCATTACGAACAACAACGGTGTGTAACCAAATCTTAGAGAGTACCTCAGCGCCCGCTCGCGGCGTCTGCTTCCCCTTTTTTTCATACATTCCCTTTTGCTACCCCCATCCGCCATTATATAGATCCGGCGACGCCGGTCCTTCTTTGACATGCACTCGGAGCAATTAGTATGACGCGTCGTGCAACCCGTATGAGTCTGCGAAGCGATAGAGTAGTGCGTGCTTGCAAATGCGTGTAATGAAAATTACGGCGGTTATTGTTAGCGCAAACTTAAAAAATGTAATGTTGATACTGTAGTGTTTTTGTATTTGTTACTTACTATTCAATGTCTGATAAAGTATGAAGTACTCTAGCATGATTGTGTTGATGTTTTAAATAGATTAGTGGTATTATTTGCACACTTGTACTGTATTATGTTTTAAAATGTGTCAGGTTAATAATTAAATTTCACGTATCACCATTTATATATTATGTTATTTTCTACATTACTGTAACTTATGTTAGAATTTTATTAGATTATGAGACACAGAATATAGAATTACGATATAAAGTATACGATAAACAAATAGTTAAATATTAGAACTTAAATAAAAAAAGAAAGAAGGACATACCAATGCTACGCCTTCTCTTTAGATACGAAACTCATCTTGACCGAATTAAGTGCTACATTTTTCCACGTCCACCTATTTATTTATTAATCTCCAACAGGGAAGGGGGGATACGTCACCGCGTGCCTTTTGAGAAATGACGCCTGCCAAAGTTAAGTCGGTTGAGCCAAGGCGACGGGGCTTGAATTATGACCGTTTGTTGAGCGAACGGATAAAGGCCATTAGGGCGCTCCGTATAATCCTTATCGGGCAACTTGCACTTAGGATTAGTTCTGTCAGAAGTTGCTTTTTTCGGCTATTGCCAGAGTCGTGTCTAGGTTGCGATTAGGGGATAAATACGCTTAGAAGGTTATGTACTTGTGCTTGAAAATCATATTTTTTATTAATTTCCTAAATGATTATATCTTACGACTTAAAATATATGTTATGATTACATTTTTGCTAGCCTATTTTTGTATATAATTATCAAAAGCGTCGAGATCATCTTACCACCTTGTTTTTGGACATCTTCAACGCCTTTTTTTCGTCCGATAAATAGAAGATTGTTCGTCCATATTTCAGGTTGCGTCCGGCTCACGTGTCCTGCTCAATTTCCTATTTAATCTTCACATATTTCAATCTTCTACAATTCCAGTTATTGAACGCAGTATTGCGTGATTTTAATTGTCTCTTTATATCTCTATAAACTGCATTCCATTGTCTACTGTCGAATCTTGAGGTTTACTATTTTTTATTATAAATTGTAAACTAGTTAACTAATCATACCTGACGCGTGTTACTGTAAATAAATAAAAATGCCTAATTATTAGAATTTCATGTTGGTCTGGAACTGTACCATGTTGGTCTGGGACTGTACCATGTTGGTCTGGGACTGTTTTATTTCATCTGATACGTCCCATTTTTACGGGGAACTTATAAGAAAAAAGAATGTGGCAACATTGTTATGTACTTGTTTAGGAAGTTGTAAAATGCGACTAATGGGATATTGGGTTTGGCTAGCCACCAATTATGTTACTGTTACCATTTTTCTTCTATACTTCTTCTTTATAGTTCTTTCACAATTTTTCATCTATACCTATTTTTTTAGCTAAGCTCTCTTCTTTGGACTCTACCTATTCCTTATGGGATTACAGGCGTGACGTATAAAACGTATCTGTAATTAGTAAAATGCACAGAATATTTTCATATTTTAAAGAAGCATTATTGTAAGGTTTTTATTTTCGAATTAAGTGCAATAGTTTAAAAGTATTTGTTACGTTGTACTTGAGTTAAATCCTGTATTGGCATTCTGCCCCGCAACGTTAACGTTTTCTTGTGGGCTTGTGGGTTATTATACCGCTACTATTACACTATTATGGTTTTGCAGATTCCCGATATCGGCAATAAAACTTTATATTGAAACAATACGGTGGCTTTTACTAACGTTTAGAATATCATAAACTTCGCATCTTGTTTCGATTACATCGTATTGGTTATTATATTGCAAAACGTATTCGATTCCGTTCCTTAGTAGTTCAAATTCAACTTTTCCTATAAACTTTTAACGATGAAATTTATTTCATTGATCACTATGTTTCGTTGTTACATGTAAATATCTAAATGAAGTTAAACCTAAGCTTCCACAATTCGATGTAAACAATGCACGGACATTTTACAGCGTAATAAAATGAATCTAGTTCAAGAAAATGAAGGCGATATTAAAGTTTTGCAACCACGAAAGTTATTCCTCTCGGCACATTTATCACGTTTACTGTGGTAATATTTTCAAAGCAATGCTTTTGACACAGATTACTTTCGTTATACGTTTGCAACGCGAAAACTTTATTTACATTTTTAGTTTTGCGTATTTATTAAAAATAACCGTTTACTTTATCTTTGAAATGAAATCGGCGTACTGTGTGATGAGTTTTAGTTTTTTTTTTTTTGCTTTACAAATTAAAGGTAGCGTCTATTGCACCTGCCACGTAACGACAATTACTAACTTTGCTTGGCCGTTGTGTACTGAACTACATTAATGACTGTCGATGTTCTGTTGCGTCAGCGACTATACATAATTTTCAATGTTTTTCTTACTCAAAATTTCTCAATTTCTGGTTTACGAATAATAATCGCCTAGTGTATCCCCACTTACAGAATAAAATAGAATACTTTTTGTCAATTAAAGTCATTTATGCTTTCACCACTGGTTCGGAAAAAAAGTTCTGTCCCGAGAAGAACCAGCAAGAATATTAGCGTGATTCTTCTATTGTATAATTATTTAAAGTAAATGGTAACGATCAAGTCATTCCCATGGGTCATCAGCAACTTACCATGCTTTTAATGGGTAAATAAATTACATTGAAAAATGTAAATTGACATTAATGTTGAAAACCCGAGTCATTTTAAAGTATTAATTTTGCTTACTAGTCTTACAAAACATAGGTGACGTAATATAATATATAATATCTTATAATAATTACATATATTTATTAATTAATTTGAGAAATTTGTTAATGACATTTTTATTCACTTTATTAATGTGACTCGTTTCCGTAGGATTGCAATAAAATAAGCACTGTTATTACAAACAGGTCGTAATTGTTATTACGGTCACTCGTACCCAGTAAGTACTTGATTGCTATGGTTGCAATCAAACATTATTTTTACAATTCCATGATTTAATGCCATATACTGGAAGAAGTAATTTGGAAAATAATTGCGCAAATAATAAAGATTTCACTCATTGTCAATTAAAAATGAGTTTAAAGGATCGACTAGATCCTTTGGTTAGGTTGCTTTATATGGGTCGATAATCGGTTCTTAGTAAGTTTTATATTAGGACACATTTTGATCTTTCTACCGTCCGATCTCTGTCGGATTACCATCCCATCGGACTATGAGAGCGAGAGAATTGAGAATGCACCTGTGCTAGCTCATACACTCGTGCACTATAATCTTGTCCTGTGTAGACGGCTAGTCTCTGTCGAAACTGGAGGTCTAAAAGACATTATTGCATTAGAACGCATGCGATCCTAAAAACAGCTGCAAAAATAACGACACGATAGAAGCAGAATACGTTGCGTTCTTGCGGCCTACGATATTCTGACAATAATTATTAGTACATTTAGTTTTTGGACGCATATGATCTTACACACACCTGCGTTATTGATAACCCTAGTAGGATGCAATTAGGGTTCAACAGACAGTCACACAACGGTATTCGGTATTCTGTCAAATAGCAGCAGTAGTTAAATTTCCGTACGAATGGCTTGATTTAAGCCGTGTATCGATTACGCACTCCTGGCGCGCGCGCCATAAATGACCGCTTCGATCAATGCGCTCCAAATGTAAGCGCTCCTAGCGCGTGTGACAACCGCTCCAGTGTTCGACTTAACATGCATGTCGGTCGTGTACGAGTAGCTGCCGCTTTCATAATTCTATGCATCTTTTCTGAGCGCTTTATTATGTTAAAAATGACTTTTGCTATTCCACAGCAAATCTTTTAAACTATATAATTGTATTAATTGACGGCAACTTTGGTTATCCATAGCTCGGAACGCAACGAACACACAATGAAAACAAACGTCCCAACTGGCGCGCGCGCGCCAAAACTTGCGGTATCCATTTCGCGCGGCTGGAGCTCGCGCCAATATTCGACCTCTTGGAGCGCGTGATCGATACGCGGCTATACAATAATTTTTGGTACACACACACATACACTTTGGAAATAGCGAACGATAAAAACGCAGTTCACGGCTGGATACGGGACGCATTATTGCTGTAATGCATACCATATTATCGACCGGTTATATCGCGGCTATCTGGTAGTCTAAATGTGCCTTTGAAAAATAAAACAAAATTTAACAGTGTTTAATACGTATGTCGTTAAATTCATACAACATTCTTATACATATATTTTATTTCCTTAAAATGATTGGAAATCGTTAAAGATAAAATGGAAAATGTCGAAGGTATTAACGATCTCCAATTTTTGAAAATTAACATATAAATAGATAATTAATATAGAACAATGCAGAGACAGATTTCGCAAAAAATAACCAAAATAAAAAGCTACATACCGACAAGGTAACGCTGAAACAGGTCCTCACAAATGACATTGTGTTTGAGTTTGATAACGGACCAATAAATTTTCACTTTAATACTGGCTTGTGATATAGAAACGCCTATTGTTGGCTACGTATTATTCCCTTATCAAGTGCAAAGTTAATGGGCGAGCTTTGTGCTTGATATGATTAATTGATTTGTTCGTATATATACTCATTGTAATGCAGATTTCTTCAGATTTTAACGTCTTGAAATGATAATGGTTATTTTTCTCCTTAAAATGTATTATATATATTATGTCCTAAGCGCCTTTGTCCATTGTTTAATTCGCAGGTAATTAAATCAAGACAAAAAAATGTTGGCCACTATTTTCCATTTCTAGATATCTATATTATTTTAAGTAATAATATATCTTAATATAAAGATTCATTGTAAAAAATAAGAGATGCTACTTTAAACATATATAAAATAGAACACAATATTATATTTCTTATATTTATTCTAATGACATACAAGTTGAGTATCGTATTCATAATCTGCAATTTATCATGTGAATCAATAAGACAGCGTGATTTTTAAAAAAGTTCAAAGCTATCAACAAAGGCAGCACTGTATTTAGCGGTATTCAATGAGAAAAAATTAATAAACTTGTGTATAATAAATGACCATGTTGCCCTTTCAAGTGTTTAGTCAAAGATTTTTGTTAACAATAAAAATGTTGTTTCTTCAAATAAAATTGAAACACCCAAGCATTAAGCCTGAAACGTATAAAATAAAAAAGGTGATAAACGATCTCTGCACCGCTATTAATAAAAATGCTTGTAAAAACTTTCCCTCAGGTTGACACACCGGACAGCGTGCTACAAAGTGGCTTGGGCCTTGGACCTGGCCCTGACACGGCCTTGAGGTCCATGGTTGACCCACGAGACTATGACCGCCTCCGCTTTTTTCAAATGAATGCCGCCCAACCAAACACCTTTGAAGAGACTATACATAGGGTGAGCAAGATTATTTTCCTGCTACTTGTGTTTTAAAGATGGCGTATGTGTCGTTAAAGGTGACGTTAGAATCCAATTTATTTGAATTATCTAATGAGAACCGTATGAATCCCATTTATAATATTTTTATTTATTTTGAAGTAATAGGCTTATAGAATTTTAAGTGATACAACCTTATCGTACTCGTACGACACATATATTGCTATCTTTTAAACTTGTAGCAGGAGAATTGCTGTTATGCTCTGGATGGCAAAATGCATTACAAATTACGTAAGATATTAAGATAAGGGGTTATCAGTATCTGCTTATAGTTACTGCCTTTTATATTTTTAATTATACATTTTCGGTAACCTAAATCTATTCAAAATTATTTCGCAATCTGTAGTAAAACTGTTTTGCTTTGTTTTTGCTTCTACGACATTTTAATTTTTTTTAATATGATTATCAAGTAGTTAAGTTTCAGTAATGTACTTTCATCGTTATTTATGAATATTAATTAATATTGTTTTGCCAACAGAGTTTTAACAGTGTCAAAATTCTAAATTTTCATTATCAATGTTTTGGCTTGACGTTTTTTCGGAATGCTCAAAGATTAGGAGGTGGTTCTAAATTATTAGGACTATATTTACTTTTTTTCAGATGAATTTGTAAATAAAAGCTGTGTTTTAAATTTTTAGATATAATTCAATTAGCGTTTCTCACGCACTGTTACTTTTATTTCATTAAGCATGAAGATTTATCGTAATGCACGAATTTGCACGATTGATGGGAATGCATGTTTAATTTATTTGTTTTGGATTTCTTTTTCTTAATGATAATATATTTTAAATATCATTAGTTTTTTTTATACTTTTTAGTAAATTGATTGCTTAAATTAATTTTATGCACTTAAAAGAAAATAAAAAAAATATTTACATTTTGTCTTATTTTATATATGTTTTTATTGGCTTTTAGGTAATCTAAGAGACAGACAGTTCTGTTTTATATTATGTTATACTAGTTACTTGTCTTTATAAATATAGCTAAAAGGCGAAAGATGCAGCCTATATACGTCCCACTGATGGGCAGAGCCCTTCTATGATTTCTGATAGGGCTATGGGGCAATTAGTAGCTACATTGCAATGCTAGATGTCTTAAGAGGTGACAGAGGGAAACGTAAACAGATGATGAATATTATCACCATCTTCCTGATAACAACTGAAACTATTAAAAACTGCGGTTATCAACTCGTATGCCAAGCGTGGCAACTATGGCAAAATCAGCCCTATGAGACAATCTATGGGGGAGGCTTATGTTCATCCGTGGACTTTTATAGGCTGTAAGTAATTGATGGATGAATAGGTACACCATTCCGTGTCGGACATGACATGTTCTAAGAATATTTTATCCTTAAGACTTTCTTTGTTTTTCCTTCGCTGTTTCCTCACAATATATTTCTTCACCGCCGGGCAAGTGGTAAATCAACGCGTAAAAAAACTATTAACTTCATTATGGCCGGTGGGTATCGAACCTAGGTTGGTTGTGTAGTGTGAAGTATACGGCCAGTGCTGAGGCCACTAAATAAAATAATTTTACTGACTTTATGGCGTTAAATTTAATTTATTTTAATTTCCGACGTTTAGGGTGCTTTACAACACTCATGGTCAGGGGACAAAGGTATTTGACGTCCCGATACCATAGTCGACCCGGGCTACATTCAGCTTTTGAATATTAATTTCTGATTCAATCTACCCAGAATAGGCATACAGTAAATTAAAGTTTTGCAATGGTATGCTGGGGTTTGAATTTAACTTTATATATTATAGATGGTAGCATCCTGTAATTAATAAAACCCAGCTATCTTCTCCATTGAAATTAAGTTTAATTATTCACAATGAAATTCTTAAAAATCATTATTTGTGTTACCGTACTAAAATATTTATATTAAAATTGGTATAATATAAAGAGTCGCTAGAGGATGACAACATATTGTCAATTATTTGTCCAAATGTTCATCCCACCAGTATGCTGGGCACACTGTTTATTGACAGAAGAGGCGACAAACTGAAGACGGAACATTCTTAAAATCGATAATCCAATGGTGACGGCAGCACTCTAAGTCCATTATTCAGAGTCATAATATAATCTAAATTTTAACACAAAATTTTAACACTGTGGAGTTTGAACTTAAACTCAATATTGTCTGTGAACACCAGCCTTAGAACGAGCGTATCAGCTCCGCGCTTAGCGTTAGCTTAACCAAAATAGGCCTATGTTCATCTGTGGACTATAAGCATATATAATATATAAATTGACAATATATATAATATATAAATTGACAATCTATATAATATATAAATTGACAATATACTCCCGCCGGTCGGGGTGTACCTACCGGTAGAAACCATACAGAAAAGACAATAAGCCCCAGCTTTTTATTTACACGAATAATTAATTTATAATAGAAACGACTACATCTGTATTTTAAGCGTGTTATCATCATCATTTGGATTATTATAAATATATTACTAAAAAGGTCGAGTAATTATATGATGAAGTATAATAAATATTGTAGGTATTTCAAAATATAAGTAAATAATATTTAGATGACATTTCCTCGGAGCTGGAATGATAATAAAAAGCCAAGAGTTGCTCTCGTAGAAGTTATAAATGACAAATGAGTTTTTGTTTGTTACAGCTAAAAGTTCAGGAAGCGATGAAGAAAAAAGACAAGCTGGCGCGAGAACAGGAAGAGGTAACTTTCATTCTTGCTAATTTTAAATGAAAATAATTTTAATTTTGGGTAGCGAGACCGTTATAGTTGTTTTAAACTTTCCGGTAGGTGGCGCAATAGATTAGAATTGTTAAAGAGTACATAAAAAATATTAATTATTAGATTAGATGACAACGCCACCAGGTTCATTGATTTTCTTTTTTAGCACTAAGCAAACATAATTAGAAACATGAAACATTTTGATGAATAAATTTGATTGTTACGCTAAGATTTTTTTTTTATAGGAGAGGGGGCAAACGAGCATGCGGCTCACCTGATGGTAAGCGACTACCGCCGCCCATGAACAACCGCAACACCAGGGGAATCGCAGATGCGTTGCCGGCCTTTTAAAAAGGAGTACGCTCTTTTCTTGAAGGTCCCTAAGTCGTATCGGTCCGGAAAAATCGCTGATGGTAATCGATTCCACAAGGAGGTCGTGCGAGGAAGAAAACATCTTCTAAATCGCACAGTGGTGGACCGCCAGTCATCCAGATGGTGTGGATGGTATCGGGAGTTCTGCCGCGATGTACGTTCGTGAAATTTGGCGGCTGGGATTAATCCGAACAATTCCTCAGAGCACTCCCCATGGTAGATGCGAAAGAAAATGCAAAGGGATGCAACATCTCTTCGCAGTGCCAATGAATCGAGCCACTCGGAAAGGGCACACGATTCGAGCCGCTCTGCGTTGGATGCGGTCAAGTGGAAGGAGCTGGCACTGGGGAGCCCCTGCCCAGAGATGGGAACAGTATTCCATGTGAGGCCGAACTTGCGCCTTGTAAAGTTGCAGGCGGTGTGCCGGCATGAAATACTGTCCCGCTCTGCTGAGCACGCCAAGCTTTTTAGAGGCCAATTTGGCCTTCCCTTCCAAGTGACCACGAAACTGCACGTCATTCGATATGTCGACTCCGAGGATACCGATACTGGCTGAGGCAAGAAGGGGAGTGCCTTGAAACTGAGGAGATACGACAAAGGGGTTCTTTTTAGCGGTAAACGCGCAAACTTGTGTCTTCTGAGGATTAAACTGGACTAGATTTAGTCGCCCCCAATCCGAGACTTTGTTCAGCAAAGACTCGACTTCAGACACAAGTTTGTTCCGGTACTCAGCGACGTTTTCCCGAGAAATATTGGCACGACCGGTGTATACATATCCACCTCATGACCTTCTTTATAATCTCATATCCACCTGTAGATTCCCTATAGGTGGAGATGAGATTGTAAAGAAATGTATGTAATTACTAGTACCTATATGTAATTAAAAGTGAGCCAGGAACTATCATTATCATTACAGCCCTTCACAAGTCCACTGCAGAACATAGGCCTCCCCCAAAGAATGCCACAAGACACGGTCCTGAGCCACCTGCATCCATCGACTTCCTGCATGTCTTACCTGGTCGTCACTCCATCTCGTGGGGGGACGCCCTACACTTCGCCTACCGGTACGAGGCTGCCACTCGAGAACCTTTCTTCCCCATCGGTTGTCGGTTCTTCGAGCTATATGGCCGGCCCACTGCCACTTCAGCTTACTAATCCGTTGGGCTATGTCGGTCACTCTGGTTCTACTGCGGATATCCTCATTCCTAAGTTTATCACGCAGAGAAACTCCGAGCATAGCCCTCTCCATAGCTCGCTGAGCGACCTTGAGCTTCCTCATACGGCCAGCAGTGAAGGACCACGTCTCAGTTCCGTAAGTCATCACTGGCAACACGCACTGGTTGTACAACTTCGTTTTAAGGTTTTGAGGTATGTCTGACGAGAAGATGTGTCGTAGCTTCCCGAACGCTGCCCAGCCGAGTTGAATCCGTCGATTGACCTTTCGGTCAATCGACGGAACTAAGCTGGCTGTAAACTTCACAGTACACGACCATACCGAGTTCGATTCGGCCGGCATCATTGAATTGAATGAAAAATAAATGGTTTCCCTCGTGTTTAGCGTTGAGGGATAACATCATAAAGACCCTACATCTCTGAGAAAATAATAAAAAATCGAAGACGTGAAGTTGTGAAATCTTCCAACGAACATTGAAGCAACGTGGTGGACATTTCCATGCCTATAACTCTCTCAGAAATGAGAGAAGCTTTGCAAGGCTTTGCTTGGGCAAGGCAGGCAATCGTGTGATGTCCGTTGGTTGTAACCTGACTTTACTTTTCTATATATAAAAATTTTACGTATTTATATAGAAATCGTTAATAATTCATCTGCATTGCTACCTATTGAATCCTTACACAGCTATGAAACATCGTATCGACAAAACAAATATATTGTGTAAATATGACTTCAATCGGTCAAGTCGTACAGAAGTTACGCGATCGCTAAAAGATGCACCAACGATTATATATTATGTATAAAGGCGATAAATATGGTGAAGTTAACGCTTATTAATTTTAGAGCCAACATTTATGTAAACACTCTAATTTCTGAGTTAAATGTTGAAACTATAGGGATAGTTTATGATAAACAACAATATTATAATTCTTTTAACTAAAATAATTACGCCACCCTACTTCTGGCAGTATCCAAGAGCGCTTGATGTGCTTCCTCACTGAATAGCTATACTTAACTTTAACATAACTTTTTAGTGAGAAAAAAGAACAGCCTTTATACCACAAGCGACAGTTGAGTTTAGTTTCTTGATACTTGGAGCTTTACCATTTTTGTCTTGGACAATTGATAACCTTAAAAATACCAGCAAATTATAGCGACGGTTGTCTTTAATCTGAATTCTATTTTAATTCTTAGTCAGAAACTATCCGCAACTGCCGCTGGTGGTGGCATGAGGGCTGTGTTTTGTTTCTCACTAAAAAGTTATGTAAAAGTTAAGTATAGCTATTCAGTGACGAAGCACAGCCAGTGCTCTTGGATACTGCCAGAAGTATGATGGCATAATTATTTTAGTTTAAAGAACTATAACATTGTTGTTTACATTGTATATAATATTCGACATCATCAACATCATCCTTTTAAAAGTGCACTGCTGAATATTAATCACCCCATCGATTGTCTCATAAGGGGATTGCCATTTCCCGCAGCCGTCACGCTTGTCAGACGGAAAATATTATCATCTCTTACCCATAAATAATTTACATCTTTACATAGGCCTCTCAAAAGCAGGTAAAGTGTCGGCAGTGCATCATATACCCTATGATCTGGCAGTTTCGATACAAAGATGGTCTTATGTCGCAACTACTAGAACAGCATAATCATCTTCGTCATCGGTCATCGATTAAATCAAATACTGGATATAGAACTTCCCGAAATCGCGAGGATTTGGTGTAATGAATTTTGTAGCCTACTTTCTTATTCGTAATCTTCCAAAGTATGTTTTTGGTTAAGAATATCTTATTTCATAACATCAAAAATGTAATTACTACTGTCGAAAACGTTATTGAAGTTAGTTATATCTTGCCTTGATGATATAAGAGACGAGACTGATAATCTCGCGACAGGTTCGAGCATTCGACTTGCGAATCGACCCAAACGCTAATCGTGCCCTAATCTCATGATAAGCCTATTACAGACAGTTGCACCGCTTCCCTACGAAACTTTGGAAGCCCTTTAGTGGGCACATTTCGATTGCTCGTAAAACTATGAGACCTCGCCGCTTCGGGAATATAGAATATTGAAATTTTACGACCGCAATCAACCATTCCCTGCACGAATCGGTTCGTAATGCGAGTTATTAAAAATTTGGTGCTGACTCAACCGTTTCATTGATTTTCCGAGGACGATAGCAATGTTTCTCGTAAATAAAGTAATTTTATTCTTGTCGTTATATGCTTCTTTGTTGTTTTGTTATAAAATATTTATGGAGCCAATTTGAAAAAATTGGTACAATATGACAAGTAATATTTATTTTGTAGGTAACTAAAATTAATTAAGATACCTAAAAACATATTAAAAAATTGAGTTTGTCAGGACAGTAAAACTTTAGTGATTATATTATAATCTATATCATTAGGTACATAATTATTTTATTATTTTATTAAACGTTTTCAAGTAAATTCAACACAAGAAATGCAACATTAATATTAATAATAATATTAAATACGTCATTGAAAACATTACTCTTGAATAGTTTTAAGTATAAAGTTCAAATTACAGGTTATATACAGTCTGTCCCACTGCTGCGTACAGGCCTCCCCTCTCATTTATGAGAGGGTTTTAGGGCAAGGAAGTCTCCGCCGCACTCCCCCAATGCGTGTTGGCGAACTTCAAATGTCTTTGAAATATTACTCAGACATGCAGGTTTCCTCATGATGTTTTCCATAACCGCCGAACACGTGGTAAATTAGCACTTAAAATTGCATTTTCATTGGTGGTGGCGGAGATAGAACCCGGGTTGCTCGCGTACTGTGAAATTTACAGCGAGCGGTAACCATCGGAGCTACCGCGGCTCTTAAATAATTTTCGGCATTTTAAGTATGTACGAGTATAATTTGTAATTGTATCTTAATTGGTTCAGAGTGCTATTATAAATATATCATAGTTATTTTTATTTTCTTGAAATTATGTAATTAAATATATTATTCAACAACTTGCAATTAATAAAATATAAAGACATACTATGTATGTGTCTATACACGTATATACTTTATAAATAGTAAGTTATTTGTAGCTATAACGATATATAAAGTGGGTACTTCTAACCACCTATTAATTTATTTATAACTATGTTGTAGACGAAAGATGTCTACTAATGAAAAAAAAATAGGTTGGTATTAAAATACAAGGGCCGTGGTAGTAGCTCAGGGGCCAAGCGCATGCCAAAAATGTCGATCGTTCGTTGCTTCGTTACATTCCTGACGGCAAAATTATAAAAATTGTTAATTCCATTTTAAGTGCTGACTTATCATATGTTCAGCGGTGAAGGAAAATATTGTGAGGAAACCGCTTGGCTTAGGAATATAATATTTCGAGGATATATGTAAAGTCCGCCAACACACGCTGAAGTAACTAATTGTTTGCTCTATACCCAAATATGGGACGTATGTATGTAGGCTGATATTTTACATTTACTTTACTTTTATACAATACAACGTATTTATGACACATATTATCAGTACTTAGCCATAATTATTGAAAAAAAAAGTGGATTATTATTACATATCCAAAATGATAATATGATTACTTTACATTCAAAATTTTTATTTACATTTTATTATTAAGTGGCGAAGCTTGCGAAGTCACTTATTGATTTCACGATGTCTGGCCGTCTGTCCGTCTGTCCCACGATTATCTCGAGAACGGTTTCGAATTTTCTAATTCTGTTTTCAGCAATCGATTACTGATCACCCAGGCATCTGAACCTCCTATTATGAAACTGATTGCTCAACGGCAACCGTTAGAAACCGCTACAAAGCTGATTGCTTCGCCACTTTGCTATGCTGTTAGCTTGCTAGGTTTATTAATATTTAAATTATCATCTTAAAACATTTAAATGTGATAAAATTAAAAATATCGGTACAGTGTAACTTCCCATCAATGCACCCGAAAAATAATTACCTACTACAAAATGAGTATAAACAATTGCATATTTTTCACATAATTTAGTATGTAATGAAGATGCTTTGATTGCCTATCCTTTTCCCAGTTTAGTCTTCGATGCGACGTTACCTTATTTCCTTAAATAAAACGAAACGCAAATCCCTTTCACGTACTTTCCGAGCCGTCTCGGAAACAAACGTGCATAAATTAACTTAATGTTCAATACTTTTCTACTTACGTAGAAGTGGTCGTTTTATAGCCGCCTTTGAAATTTATTATCACGTTCACGAATACTTTAAGACGGGTATATTTTGTACAGAAATTTTATTATTCCATACAATAAATAAAACCAAATAAGACTTGTAATGAGGATATTTTTCATAGTTGCTACGATTGGCAAGCAAGTTGGCAACCGCAGTTTTATAATTAGTTTTATGTTCAGCAACGGGTTTTAATAGTCGGAATAAATGAATGAATTAATGAAATATCTGGTAACATTTTTGAACCCTAAATTCACCTGCATGGATTTATGGTCTCTTGGTAATTTCAACAACTACACAGCTCGATTTATATTGTGAGGCTCCTAGGCGGTCTAGTCGCCAGGACACTGGTTGGATCTGCGATTATCAACACAATTAGACCGAAAATCATTAATCTGTGTTTTTACATAAATGTTGGCCTCAACTGGGATTTGAACGTAAATAGCCTGACTATTATATAGCAATTTAATTAATATTCAGCACGATTGTCAATGCAAGATTTGATAGGGCCGTAAATTTACGCGAAAACAAACGTCCATTTGCCTAACTCACCCATAATCGATATAAAGTTTATATGATGGGAGCAGAAGGTGGGTGTGGAGGTAATGTCAGAGACAGGAAAAAATTACAACATAGCATATAAATTTAGTAGCAGAGACACGAAGATTATCATAGCTAAATCATCAGATTTCGCAAACTGTCAATAACTGCTTAGTGGCCAAAATACCCGATTCTATAGTTAGTACTATATTTAATGTGTAAGTTCACTATATTATTATTGTTTCAGATTTTGAGGGATATTAGACACGGTCTTATGAATATGGGAAGAGATGGAGTCCGAGGTCCTTTTGGAGGTTAGTTTTATAAATAAAAGCGATCTTATTCTGAGTTTCTATTTGCTCTGAGTTGCTTATGTTTTATGTACCATCTGAATACATAATTGTTCTTAATTTTGGCTATGAACATATGCAAATTAGGTTTTCAAGTAGAGAAAATAACTCTGTGCAACAATATATCAAAAGTGTCGCTTTAAATGGATATTAAAAAAATATGAATCAATCCTGACTTAAATCAAATAATAATTTGTTTAAAATAATTATAGCATTTTTATACTTTTTAATATTTCAATTTCTCTTTCTTTATTATATTTACTCGAGTCAAATTCATTTTTATATTATTATAATTATATTTAATCAATCATCAAGCATAATTAATTAAATTAATTATAATCATTTTATAAAATTGTTAGAACCCTAAACTATAATTAGTTTCTTGAAAGCACTAAATACCATTTTTATGAATAATAAATCCGATCCCATCAACTGGAGCATGTTGCTTGCGCGTTGTTTTGGCACTTTATTTGATAAATTTTGCGAAATGCTTATTTATAATTATTGTCATTGATTTGTCGTTCAGTACAATGAATTTTAATATGCTTTCGATGTGCATCTGTCATTCATCACTTAAAGAAAATATAAATTATAGCAGCGCTTCAGCGCAGTTTAAAGATTTATTACAAATACTACAATTTCGTGAATTCATTCATCTCCATCCATCAAGATATTTACGTTGCAAAAAAATGCTGAATGCATGTTGTTTTAAAATATGTTGCATCAACCACGCACGGCTTTCCGATGTTCGTACACAGCTTGACTGCAGTGTTGTAAGTGAGACCGCCATATTGTGGAAGGGGCATTTTACGGTAAACTTTTTTCGCAATTTTGTTCGCACGTATAATTTTTATTTGCTCAATTTCAAAACTACGATACTTTTGAAAGTTAATTAAGTACTCGTTTGCAGACGATACTTACATGTACGACGATGAAGCTCGAGGTCTCTCTGGAAGGGGACATTGGTATGACGAGCCACCATATGAAAGCGATCCTGAGGATTTTCTAATGGGAGGAGGAACACCTGCTGCAACATTCCAAAACGGCAGAGTTTGCTTTACTCTTAATCTAAGAAATGAACCGAGAGGCGAAGGTGTGATATCTCTGAGAAGTGCTGGTGACATTAGTTTAGCAAGAGCCCCTAGACGAGGATTAATAATTCCACAAAGCGGTCCCTACCCAACTACGGTCATCCCTCTTCATACGGCGAGGAATCGTGAGAGCGGGGACTATGCCGCATCAGACATCCAATCAATAGGTTCGCGATTATCTGGAATTTCCTTAGAATCTAGTCGATCGGAAAGAGACTGCAGACGAGGTTATCGACAAATGTCAGGATACCGGATAGGAATCGATCCCTTATCACCTGCATCATCAGATTATGAAGACCAAGAAAGTGAAACAGACTCCCAACACATAGCCACAGTGCACAAGGTAAATATTTGCTTAATAAATGTACAAACCATAACATCGTTTTCATTTTGCAAAACCAAGTAACTTTTTATTAACATTACAGTCAGCTGAAGAGTGTGAAGGAGTTTCAAATTTAGCGGGAAAAGTAAGAGGTCTTAGGCAAGATGTTCAAAGAAAAATTTCAAGATTAAGACAAGAGAGAGGTCCGGAAACCACAGAGCGGCGAACAAGTGGAGATCATGCCTTTCCATGTTCTAATAGTTCATTTGAAAGTCTTCCCAGCGGATCAGGCAGTAGTGAGTGGATTTATTGAGTTATTTGTCGTTGTTAATATAAACGTTTGTAAATAAGTTTGTCTTTCCTTTCTTTGTACCATAACGCCCCTTTGATTACTTACAACTTATGTATCTTGTGTATATTGTTCATTCATTATGTCTATTCTAATAATAAGTAAATAGTTTATATAACCCTCTATGTATTTACAGTCATGCAAAGATGTATTTACAGGTATTTCGTGTTTAATGTACAAAAATATGTTTCTGTTTTACTTGAGTTGCTAAGTGTACAAATATTTATGAACAGGCACTCAGGCATTGGTTCGCGCTGGTAGTAATCACTCATCTCTCTCGGCAGAAGAAAGCATAGAATTAAGTCCAGCCGGGCGGAGCTTACTAGTACCGCAAATGCTGTGTCGAGCTCGAGCGCTCGTCGATTACGTGCCCAATATTTATGAGAAAGATGCCTTGAGATATAAGGTAAGATAATTTTGTACTATTCTTTTTTCTAATAGCAGCTTAATCTAATAGAACGGCACTGTAATATTCTGTACTTTGTTCACAGAAAGGAGACATTATCGAAGTCATCAACATGAATGCTTCCGGCATTTGGAGAGGCGTTTTAAATAATAAAGTTGGGAATTTTAAGTTCGCCAACGTTGAAGTTCTTTCAGACAGAGACGCTATGAGATCTAGATCGTTGAAATGGTGCAAAAGTCGTGAAAGGCTCTGGGAAACGCGACCGAGAACGGTAGAAGAATTACTTAAAAGGATAGATTTACCAGAGTACGCTTTGGCTTTTGCTAGAAATGGTTATGAAGATATTGAACTATTCAAAGAAATTGAACCATCGGATCTTGATTATCTAGGCATTATGACACCAGATCATCGAACTCGCATTCTCGCCGCTGTGCAACTGCTGCACCAGCTTGAATGTGAGTTTATAATAATATGATAAAATTTTATTGAACAATTTTACATGTTAGTTATTCTGGTCGATAATATAAGAACTATGTTTGTGTTGCAAGGTGGCGAAGGTGACGGAGAAGGCGAAGGAGGTGGCTCTAGTTCAGAAGGTGGTGATTCACCTTTCGGTCGCAGACAATTCCCACGTGACTCTGGTTGCTACGAAGCGGGCGTGGGAGTAGGTGGCGTTCGTGTTCGAACTTCACCTTTGGTTCACAGATCAGATGAACCTGCGCATCGACCACCGGATCCAGCACCGCAGGTTAAGCGTTCTATACGACGCAGACAACCTGATGAGGCTGAGTGTGATAGGATCGAACGCTATCCTGGTTCAGCTGCAGAACGGGCTATAACGCGCAGTGGAGGACTACCTGGTGGTGCTAGGGATGACACTTGTGAAACCGATCACAAGCTTAACGTTGTAAAGTTTGTAGCAGGTGGAGAACCATGCGCATCTGAGAAAAGTAGTGATTCGGGTGTAAGTAGCTCATCGTTGAGTTCCGCTCACCCACATCGTACTTGAGCGCGGCCCGCCGCGCCCGCGCTTGCTTAGACGCTGGCGCGGGCGCGAGCGCAAACTGCGCTAACGTCCGCAACATCCTATGACACGGAACCCTCAGTGCCATCAGAAAACAACTAACATTGATATTGCCAAATGAAACGTATTGACGTTAAAGAGAAGTAATTTAATTGAATTAGATGCTATGTATTTAGCGAAACCTATTTTTAACAGTAGATAGTTCCTTTGAACTACTGACTGAACTGTAAACCACTATAACTCTTTATTCTAAATTAATGTTCCAATCTCACTGTATAAAATATTATAGATGACATTATTATTTCTTTGAATTTAACTTCTCTTTATCATGTAAGCTTGCGTTAAAGATGGTAATATAAAGTCAATGGATTAAAATTAATTATACAATATATTTAAGGCCGACTTCTATGAAACGACCTCGTTTTAATGAAAATAGACTGATTGTCTTTAATATTTTGTTGTTACGACAAAAGTTCACAACATCTATAAAGCTTGAACAATCCCACTTATTCACTACTGGCATTTTTAGGTTTAGAAATAAGACTGAATATTACGTCTGATCAGCTTTAAGTATTTCCCAACTCAAATATATCACGCTGCCAGACTATTCTGTAGCTTTTTTTAACAAATTATTTTAGTCATTGTTTTCATCTTGATGACAGTTTCTGTTACGTATATCAAACAATTGCAATTTACAATTATAAACATAAATGTTATTTGTTTTTCATCTGCAATTTTCTAAACTTCGAAATTCAAAATATCAAAATCTAATAAAATACGATGACCAGCATATGCACTGCCCTTAATACTTTAATAAGATTATAAAAATTATGAAATTAACGCTAAAAGCAACATGAATCATTTTATTATATTTCATATAAATAACAATCAATTTCGTCAACTGAATTTAGAGAACTGTATGTTTAATACAATTTTAAATAACTTTCAAATGTAACTAACGATCTTTAAATCAATTTTCTAAATGATTAAATTATCAAAACTCTGGAATTTAAATTTAATAAAGTATCCGGAAAATATCTAATAATAATAACTCACTTAGAGTTTGATGACAATTATGTGTAACGTGGAAAATTCAGATGAGAACCTTTATATGAAAACGCTTCTTATAAATCTTCATAAATTTGAAATCTATATCCAACATAATTCCTTAAAACTTGGTACACTTGTTTACAAAACTACGTGAACCGGTTAAGTGTAATTTTTACACTTGTATAATTTTAAATTGAAATGATGCATTATGCACTCATAAATAAATTATAACAAGGCGATAAGCCACTTTATTATAGGAAATCATGCGTTGAAAGCGCACTTTCGATAGCAATAATTGTAAATATTTTAAATAGATAGGTTAATTATTATACGTTATTTTTTTGTAATTTTTAAGAGAGCTTTATGCGGCATTCCGCATGTACAGGTTAGTACGTAGGTGATATGTGAAATTGAATTTCACCCGAATATTCCCCATACTTGGTAATAATTATTGATAAACCTGCAATTTATTTGCGAATATACTTGAGAATATATTTTTCTTTAGCATATTTTTAGTGACATCGTGGACTAAAAGCTTTTGAATGATTAATGTACAAAGCATAGCTAATGTTTAATATAGCAGATATCGCTCGTATTGATTTAGTTAATTCCTACATTTCATTGCATTTACTTGTAATGCGTATTGATTGACATTTAAAATAATAATGGTTTATTAGACTGCACTGTAGCTGTTGGCTGTACTTGTGTTAAATATAAATTTGTTAATTTGCGGCCATGTTTACTATTTTGGGAAATTTTACTCACTTATTAAGCGAACCTACATAATATGGTAGCGTTCACATTTGTAAATTATGTATTTACGAATTCTTCAAACACTTTTTGACTACGATCGTGAACTAGTCCGAACTATTAAATGTATATAGATAAATGTTTGTTACTTGTATATTGTAGATAGAACATATTTCTTTTGACAATTTTATTGTATATTCAATAAATAATTCTTTATTGAAATTAATGTTACAAGTAATTTATTTATATCTATGTTTTAAAAGCTCAGGTAGATGTTGAGTAGCCGCTGGACATGTTAAGATCTTACTTTTGATTTTAAGGATGTGATTCTTATAATTAGGCTGTACAAAACACTTTTTTTTGTTAGTTTTATTCCGCAATGACCGTATGTTTTGTAGCCATATTTATATTTTTTTAAAACCGACATTATGTGTAAGTTTACAGTTCTACAAACATGGATTCTAAATAAATAAATCCAAAATTTAATGCGTGTTTTATTGTTGAATTTTAGACAACTCAGTTGTACGAAGTTGAAAAAAGAAATAGCTGTCTATACTGCACTAATAACGTAGTTTCAAACTTAATTACTCATTTAAAATTATTTTTTATTTTAAGTAAAATGACATTTATTTTTGTAAATTCTAATAACAAAGACAAGCTTACCAAATAGTGTAAATAATTTTTAAAGAGATATTTTTATGACCCAGCTCGTAAAACTGCGGTAGTTCTGTAGAAATTTTACTAGTTTTTAATAAGCAGTAAATTCCTGTTTTACGAGCCACAAATTATCGAAATATATTGTGAAAGTAATAAAACATACAAGGTATCGGAAGTCACAATTAAAATTATTTTATTATAAAACTGAAGATGAAGAGACTACGAACTTACCGCCCGCCTACTGGCCGGTTGCTCATGCAATCCATTGGCGCCTGCAGCCAACTTCAAACAAGTAAGGATACAGATGCGTAATCATCTCTGATGGCTAAGGTCTAATAAATGCCTTATAGCCTACTCCACCTGCCAAGCGTGATGATTAAGGCTCTCTTCAACAGGAGATGTTTATTTCCAGCAGTAGACGTTTAACGGGCTTCTTAAGAAGATGAAGAAATTAAAGCTGGTAACTGAAATTCCATCAGGTTTTCTTGTTATAAAACTCAAGTGTCAAGCTAATGTCCTACCACCTCGAAAAAATCTGTCTATTCCTGTTAATTGCATCCGGAACATAACTGTCACTGTAAATAATTATGATTTTCTAATAAATAAAATAATCCTTCCTTTCAATTTTGAAAGGGTTAAGCACCTAATTTGCGCTGCGAATAAAATATAAAATACGCCATGTCCTCGATGTATTTTATATCTCAGAAACGCAGGTGTTTCTCGATGTTTTGTGATATTTTATCTTTACCTGCGAGCTAGTTAATAAAATGCACTTAAAATTGCAATTAGCAATTTCATTGGAACTTGCGAGGATCGAACTCGGTTTGTTCATGTACGATGAAATTTACGGTAAGCACTTCGCCCCTAGGCTATCAAGGAATTATTTTTTTTATAGAAGGGGGCAAACGAGCATAGCCACTATAACAATGCCACAATCTATGATTTAGGCCTATGTTTTTTTTATAGGATAAAACGAGCATGCGGCTCACCTGATGATAAGTGACTACAGCCGCCCATGAACAACTGCAACAACAGGGGAAGTGCAGATGCGTTGCCGGCCTTTTAAAAAAGAGAACGCTCTTTTCTTTAATTCGTATCGGTCAGGAAAAATCGCTGGTGGTAGTCGATTCGACAAGTAAGGCAATTTTTTCGAGTAATAAACTTTAATTTATAGCTTTATTCAGTAAATAAAGAAAACATTTTTATTGATGATGAATCCTATTTTAAATTTTACTCGACTGCCCCAGATGGAGAATAGTTTTCGAGTGTTATGTATATCAGAAATGACAACAGGAGATCCCACTGGTGTCGGAGATTACAACAGAGTATTCCACTTGTGATCTTGGAAATACATCAGGATAGCGTTAACTGTTAAAAATAATAAAAGTGTGAGAGCGGATGTTCAACTCGCTCTCTTGCTTACGCAGTTTAATCATTATCAGTAATAAGACAACGTAACGCACTATACATTCAGTATAGTGAAATTACAGTTCGACCACACCGTAACACGTCTCCGCCACAATCACACACCAGTGTAACGTGAGGTACCTAATTACATGATAACACCAAAATATGTAAACCAACAGCAACACTACTATCTCAATGTAATACAGGGCAGCCTTTCAGCAACACCAATCCTCTTTGCCTGCACTAGAAGAATCACAACAACGAACGGAACCACGAAACTATCTTAGCACTAGTACTCGTAGAATGACCACACTCGTTGAATGACTTAGGCGGAATCTCCCGCGCACGGCACCTACAGTGAACTTTATACTACAGACACAAGAGGGGGTTTCTCGATATACCCTCCCTTCTACCTCGATCCAACCGGGTATTTTATAGACGCTCCGACATGTATGTGTGTATGTATGTACTAGTATGTCTATTGCTTTGGCACGATATTTAGTCTAAACAGCTTGATTAATGTTATTATATGGACTGTCGTTAATTCATCATAGTTGTGGAAATAAAACTTATTTATTTTTACAAACTTTTGTAAGCAATCTTGTTTTTTTAGTAACGTTTCAACCATTGGATGGAATTAACGACGGCAGGGAAGGGTTCTCGAGTGGCAGCCTCGTACCGGTAAGCGAAGTGTAGGGCGGCCCACCACTAGATGGAGTGACGATCTGGTAAGATATGCAGGAAGTCGATGGATAACGATAGTAGGTGGCTCAGTACCGTGCTTCCGCAGTGGACTTGTTGAGGGCTGTGATGGTTATGATGATAAACCTTTTTAAGATAGCGCCAATCGACGTGGAAACCTTGAAAGCTTTGTCTATAAGGCGGGATAGAGATAGAGCTAATAAATTCATCGTGCGTGCATAATATGCGCACACGTATGTAAGCAATGCAAATCTAAATCCCCGTAAATCATGTTATTCCGGACACACCAGGCTACGGAAGGAGCTCCAGTGAAGGTTGGGATATCACTAATGATAAATAAACCTGATAACTTTTAACACTTTTAAACTAACGAGAAGAGACACATCTTAGTTACACAGTTGTGCCGGAATGTTATAGGA